GAGGGAGCAGCGAGGTTCTTTTGGGGCAGATACCAAACGTTGTGTTTATCTGCCATGACGACAAATGAGTCCTTATGAGAAAGAATTTAGAGCAACTCTTTATATTTGGTATTGCCGTCCCCCCCTTCCTCCCCCATCTGAAAAAGAAAGGGAGGAAACGCGTCGGATCCTGTTGCTCTTCCTTTGTCTAGGGCTTGGATGCAAGAACATACTTATGTTTCGGCAGGAAGTTCACATGACACCGACCATGGAGTCTCAGACGACGCAGTCTAGTTAGCACCTGGCCAGCTGAACTGTTCGTTGAAGAACTCCGCCCACTGGTCAAACCAAAGTTTCCTATTGTGATTAGCGTGTCCACTTTGGCAGCAGACTGTTTCACTCGAAATACATCCCGTACCTTATGTTTACCCACATGGAGATCTGTGTTTCCATTTTTCTCAAAAATTATATTTGGAGCGGAATCATCTGATTTCATAGCTAGCCAATTGGAAACTTTCATTGCTCAGCTGCGAATGACCATTGTGTACTTCGCAACATTTTCCTGGTACAAAACAAACAAGGCTAATTTATGAAAACATTTGACTATCCAGTATCACAGAAAATGTGTTTACCAGAACAGATACGTGGATACAGGATACATCACCCAGGGAGAGAATATTTCGCTGTACGATCCTGTCAAATTTGTGGTTTAGGAACAGCTGACGCGTGACGAAACGAGAAAGAAGAATCTCTATAAACATTGACGCTTCATTTACACCTTTCTGGGGATCCTGAGGCTCAACCTGGTGCTCTTGCTAGGGTTGGTGTGGCTCACAGTGAGATAAAGCCAGTTTGCCAGACTGGATACAAATCAATTTTCGACTGTGCGCACAGTGAGACTGATATGTTTCTACAAACTGAGCAGTCACCACCTTGATAGACGTCGTCTTGACGTACGCGCACACATACTACAGTCAAATATATACTACCAAAAACTGCACGGCCTGTTGTAAAAAGTGATTCGGACTGGTTTATTGATTTTAGCAAGAGATACGACCGTAAGAGGAGGTTGATTGCGTTTGAAAGAAATGCGTTTGGAAGGTTTAGGGGGATAACTTGGCATCATCCGGAAAGCGTGGAACGGCTTTTATCTAGCCATCACCTATTTCACAGCAGCATGAACTTCAGACGCTTCGATTGAGGTATGTCACTTGACGTTTGCCATCCTCAACTCACTAATGGACCCAGATCGACCACATCGCAACAGACCACAAATAACGGGGTTGTAAACAAGACGATCGATCGTGCTGGAGCAATAAACCAAAAGCCGACCAGGTAGTATTTCTCACCAATTTGTCCATGTGATTCGTTGGGCGCTTAAAACGCATTAAACAGTGACGATTAGACAGTGTGAAGCTTGTCCATCCATCTTTTGAAACGTGCCAGCCAAAAACTAAAACGAGACCCACCTGATAACGAAAACCAGTGCTGGTCGCTCATCAAGTATGCTCTGAAATTTACTGACCTAGTGAGTTTTAGCCGGATAGGTCGGGTCATTATATCCTGGATTTACGTCTCAGCTCCTCCTGAATGCATGGTGATCAATTCCGATCGACAGCATTGATAATGAAGCACGACTCATAACGGATTGTGAGCTCAACGAAAGCCAGATAGACTGTGAAACCTGGTGGAATTTATGTGCATCAGTGGTTGAACTACCAGTCGGCATGGGAAACACCCACAGGCTGTTTAATTTCATCCGGATAACCGGTAGCAACGCATTTGGTACAGGTACAATACAACCTGGGAGGCACAAGCCTCGCCTTTTCATACTCAATGCANGCACGCTGAGACAAACCGTAGCCCACTCTATGTATCGACTTCTTTCAATAACATAATGGTACACGTCCGCGTTCGTTTTCTTCAGACACATGATCGGGGGTGGAAATCTCTAAGGAGATCCAAGCCAATGTCACAAAGGTTTGAGCTCCGATGATCTCCCCACAGCTCTTTTGAAAGATGGCGAACTAAAATTTGTTCGAAAACTGCAAGTTTTGTTTGGCATACTGAGCAAGGCCCTCATCCTAGTAGTGGTGGTGGTAGGGGGGAACTACCCGCTCGTTACGAAGAGATCGCGCAACCATTTCGCCAACCCGTAAACCGTTGCCAGAGAATTGGCATACTCCTCAAAAATAACTTGGACATGTGCGGAGAGTTCGATAAGTGCATAATATGGAACTGCTTGTTGAGACAAGAAGCGACTAAGTGTGTCGATCCTCAAGCATCTCCACATTCGTATCTCAGATCGGGTCAGAGCCTACTATTATCATTTACCACCACTGACTGCCCCCAGTACAGTCTGACAAGGATAACCGATATCCCCGTTACTTCGTACCTTTGCCGTAGAGAAAGTGAAACACTGTCCGCACTAACCAATCTCGCAACTGTAGAGGAACTCTTAACATTGAACTTTACACAAGGCAGACGATCTACTCATGAGTAGTGAAACCAAGATTTCCAACAATTACAAGTCAAAGTACACCAAGTCAATAAAATTCGGTAAGAAGGAAGTAAATAAATCACAAAAACAAATTGTAAGTAACTGTGAAGAAAAGCGAAACCAAAAGAGAGATAGAGAGAGCACAGATCAACTGTGCATAAATGCTGTTTCAATCAATTGGATCTGATAAGAAGTGATAGCAAGATCACCACTGCTGTCGGTTTGCTGCCATCACCTTCAGTGTCTCCAACCGTGTGGTTGCGGAGTCCTTTGGACCCCAACCCGGAAGACAAGAGATACCTACTCTGCCTAATCGCTCTGTGCATTTCTTCACATCTCGTCTCTACGTCAACTACTAGCCTTTACGTGTCTTTCTTCAGTCTGTAACAGCTACTGCAAATAAGATGAGCTGCGGTAGGCGATCGTCGGACAACCTAAACGTGTCCTAACCAACGGAGCCCATTGAACTGGATTCGATGCGATAGCGAGTTCTTTTTCTGTGCACTCCTAGACAACCGGCGAATTACTAACTCGCTCACTCTATCCTACTTGGGCTAGACTACGTAACCATCGATTGTCGGAAACTGCTAGACAACGGACGTTTTCTACCCGAAAATTCAAGGTCTCACAACCGTAAAGCAGAATTGATCGTACAGTGGCGCAACGTCCGCGAGTTTTCAACTTGGGTGAAACGTCACCTCGTCGCCACTGGTGTTTAGTCCCGCGCACGCTGTTCGAGCCTTGCAAATAAGTGCTGCCGTCGTTGGTCACACAGCTACCCAGGTACGAGAAGCAATCAGCTTCAGCTAATTCCTGACCGCCTAGTTTCAAAACAGAATTCGACGATTTCCAGTCCTGCAGCATCACTTTGCATCTTGAATGTACAAAGCGCATGCCGAACGGAGCGACAGAACTTGATACTCTTTGGGGCGCGAACTCACGAATGGTGTAAGATGTTACCGAAAATCCTGGTGGGCGTTGCGTAGTGTATATATATATATATATATATATATATATATATATATATATATATATATATATATATATATATATATATATCACTTCAATCCATGCACCAGACATTTCATTCGCAGGCACAGGGAGGCGGTTTACAAGAGATAGGCAACTCCAGCAAAATACCGGACAAAGTTTCTCTTTGTTCTGGATGGGATTACAGGTGCGCACGAATGGAAAGCAATACACCACACGGGTTGGCATTTCCCTACAAAACGAGCGAGCGACACGAGATCGGACGCATCATTAATTGCCCCCATTGAAGAACATGCGTTGTCGGTTGAGGCATATACCTTAGTCTCGGGGTACCGATTAGGATCGCTTCAGCTGTGTACCGGTATTTGTGGACGCAGAACACACCCCGAGGCGAAGATATTCGCAGTTCAGTGAAAAACCCGTTCTGGATACATCGGATCGGATGGGGGGTGACATTGAGAGCTATTTGTCTACTACCGGGTTGCTGATTTAGGGTACGCTCATCCATTGTGGTACTTGTTTTATTCGAATGGTTCGAAGCGAAAGAATGTTTCCGATAGAACTCGCCGCGTCAGTTTGTATTAAAGCGCGCAAGAATGCTGAAAGACAATCCAGACTCGAGACAACCTTGCGTAATCTTACACTGTATTGTTTTGTGTATAATTTTCGCGAAAACTGAAGCTTACACTTCGGTTAAGAAAACCATATACGCCAACTGTCACAAGGTACCTATTCAGTGGGGAGAAAGTGTTTACAAAGATGGGGACATTTTATAATCCAGGGTTAGGATGAAGTTCACTAATTACCCTCTCTTTGTCTGTGAGTAAACGTGCAACATATGGTATAGGTGAATTTCGGTAGGCGTTTATTTAAGGTGCAGGTTAGCGGAACTTTGAGTGCGTTGAGTGACTGGAACGAAAACGTGTCAGTTCTGCGTGCGAGTGGGTGGGTGGTCAGGATCTGTGAGAATCCTCTTCGCAAATTTGGCGCGAGAAGTTGTATGATACTGTGGAAGCTTCCCAACTAACATATTCAGAATTCGGCGATTTCCAGTCCTGCAGCATCACTTTGCATCTTGAATGTACAAAGCGCATGCCGAACGGAGCGACAGAACTTGATACTCTGTCAAGTGCTCTTTGTGCATCCTCTATACAGTCGAACAGGCGTAGAAATATTTTGAAATGTGCAGATGGTTCGTGCTGTTCCAACCCATTTCTTTTTACTCCGATTTAAGCTGCTCCACCGAAAATCTTGATCAAATTCAGTCATTCTCCTCTTTATCGGAGTTAACCTTAAACCTGAGATGTGTTGAATGTTTACCCAGTGTTGCTCGCTTTCCTCATCCGCAGACCCCAGGGTGATCAATAACAATGCTTTGTCTAGGGTAAACTCTGTCAAATATCTTGGTGTAACGGTAAATAGAAATTTTCATTATTCAATCCACATCAACAATTGCACTAGTGAATTGCAGCGCCTTTCTATTCAAGTTCGAAAGCTCAGGCAGTTGCGCGCATCCCAGCCAATTATTTCTACTTTTGTTTATCAGTGTTTTCTCTATTCTACTTGAGTGTTTTTCCTGGCTTACTCAAACAGGATTTCAAAGTCTTACGCCGCGGTATAACTATTATTAGCCGCGTCTCTCCTATTCCTGTGAACGAGTTAGCTGTGAAGCTTTCAGAGTATCATACGACTTCGTGTGCTAAATTTGCGGAGAGGATCCTCACAGATCCTGATCACCCAGTGCACACAGAACTGACACGGGGTCGTTCCCATGCCTCCAAGCGCTTAAAGTCAAGTTTCATCTCGAATTAACGCTTACCGAAATTAACCTATACCGTATCTTGCTCGTTCACTCACAAACAAACGGAGGGCAATAAGTGAACTTTGCCTTAACCTTGGACTATGAAATGTCCCCATGTCTGTGAAAATTTTTTCCCCGTTGATTATGTACATTGTGGCGGTTGGCGTGCATGATTATTTTAACTGGAATATGAGTTCTGGTGCTTGAGAAAGTTAGACACGATATAATAGAAATACGAAATCAATCCTGAAACCCAGGAGAAAATCTCAGGAAAAAGTTATGGCATCTATGTCCATAGGGAAGAAAGATAAACAATATGGAAACCACGCATTACGAAATTATGGTTTAAACATTGTCAGGAATGGGAGGAAATAAATAAATAACCTCCGCCCCNATCCGAATAGTTAAACCTGATCGGAACGGTTAGAACCCGCATGGCTGTGAACACCGTTCTGTGGTATCATCAACGTACCTGCCTTGGATAATATCCCAAGTTTTGATAAGTGGTTCACCGCGATGAGCGGAAACTAGCCAACATCCGTCTGAGGACAAGGCCTAGAAAGGAGGATAACACAAGATCCAAAATACGGATTTAAATTAAAATCGTTAGAATTATCTGAAAATGTAAAACAGAATCCAAAAGGACCGGAACAGATAGTAGTTTTAAACAAACTCTTGTTTACGAATTATGTACGGATTGGAATTTGTGGGGTCAGATTGCCGACTTCACGTCTGGTTATTCGTAATTGTTCAAAAAGGATCTCAAATATAACGGTGTCAAAAGTCAAACATCCCACAATGAAAGCATTCGTTTACCGTTCAATGCAATACGCTAGTTACTATTCGTAATTAGATGTTTCTTCCTGTTTCCATTAGACTACTCATGAGTAGCATTCAGCGTTTATTTTCTCAACAGTTAGACTTCCGTTTTTTGTGCATCCCATGGCATCTATAGTTATGAAATATATTTTGATAGCGCATTTATCGGACGTTCAATGCTGTGATTAAATTTTTATTCATAATGTTGCATTTCCCCATTGGTACAGAAATTTTCAGAACGCCTGTTCTGCAGGTAAAAACCGGCCGCCGGCAGGGCTCCAACCGTACACCATCCCATGGTTGCCACAGGTCACGCCTACATCACACGCTTGTCACGGCCTTGTTTATTCCTTATCTGAATGCTGCCCTCTGATACACATACTTCCGATTATCACCGCCTTTTGGCATCGCGTTCCGATTTGCTAGTGTTTACTACACTTCATCTAAATCCATTGTACTTTCCTTCTCTATCATTTTACTCCGGAACTAAAGTAAGCCTTGTAAGCCTTTTCCATACCGTACCACAACCTCTCCCAATTTGAATTTCACTGCTGCGCTACTGTTACGCTTATCTGTCTGCCGGGTAGACCTTGTTCCTACCATTGCTGTCACGGACTGTCACTGCTGCCCTGTAATTTGGTGGCTCAACTAACCACAACTCATACCATTTGTCGATAAACAATGCTACTTTGTTGGACTTCGTTCTGCTGCCCGTAGCCCTGTTCTGCCCAGATCGTATAGCCACCAAGGCTAAGTTAGCGAAAAATTCCAGGCGACTAAGGCGTGACAGCACACAGTATGACAGAACAGATTTTAAGAGTAAGGCTTGTTCAGAATTGGATGATATCCGTTGCATAACAGGCTACGGGCAGCCGGATCTATGGTAAGATCAAACACGAGTGGTGGTGGTGGTGGTGGTGGTGATGGTGGTGGACAGGAAAATTGTAAAATAGAAGAGCACTTTTGTTCAGTTCGTTCTTTTCCAATCACCCAGACAATGCACATTCTTCTACCGTTCTAAGATGTAAAGACTTCAATAAGGTGAATACGTCGTGGCTCAATGGTCGTGCAGCATAGCAGCATTTGTCGGTACTAGTGAATAGATGAACTGAAAAACTGCATATCAAATTGGTTTCTAGTTTCGATTAGAAAACATTCTTCTTCCGAACGCCACATTCAATAGATTTACCAATCCCTCCGTCTAAACAAGTTATCACTTATTTAAACTTGATACGGCAGTCATTTGATAGTATCCGATCGGATTGACGGGAAACGTACCATATCAACACATGGTTGCGTATCCGGGTTCCGGAAACGACGTATCAACTGACGATGAGTGATATCGTACAGGTGGATCGGACCTGATGACAGAGCCACGGCTAATGTGTCGCTAGACGAAGAGAAACAGGGAACAAAAGGAAACTTTACTCACAGAGACTGTATTTCAAATTTGATATAATCGTTTGAAAGTGAAATGAGATGAAGCAAACTTCGCTGAGCGCTACCGCGCTTACAAGTTGTGCAAACCGTGTAAGGGTTTGGAAGACGGACTGGGAATAGGGCTAGGTTGAGGAGGGCGTAGAGAAGGTGAACGGTCAACCAAGTATGAACATTTCTTCAAGCACTGAATTGAAAAGGAAGTATACAAAACACGAATCCCAATGTATTCGGTTTTCTATCATTCTATTCAATCTGTTGAACCTCAGACCTGAGAGGTGCTCTATCTAGTCCCTATGGTATCCTCTATACCGGTTGATCTGCACGCGATCTTCTCAAACGTGAAGCGGTAGTTGACACATGCACAACAGACATTGTAATCGATGTCGTCTACTCGTCTGAATTCGGTGTAATAAGAGGACTTTAACCAAAGCACACCCAAATAAATGACTGCTTACGTGTTGTTGCTAACCCACCCACTCTATCCCACCTGCACCCAATTAAGATAATACGAATTCATTAATTAATTAATGGTAACATTAACGTGTGAACACGTGCGGTTGATAGATGTCGTTCACGCGCAAACTGAAAGTATCGTGACCGCAAAGTACACCAACTGCGAAGGGACGTCAAGCCAACTTAGGCCTTGGATATGGGTGCGATTACATTCTTCACCGTGATAGCATCAAGCGAACGCCTACTGAGAAGCAATTAACTCTACAACAGTTGCCTGATCATCAAGGATCCAACCACGGGGTGGGCAAAGCCCAATCAAGGAGCATTACTCGGCGCTTCGATGGTGTAAAGTGCACATCTGACAGAACAGGATAACCAGACAATCTGAAGTATACTTGGCAGGTGCTACAAACATTCCAGAAACTGGACGATTTCCCTGGTATACTTTAAATGACACCACTTTGTGTCAGCTGTTCATTCGACGTGAAGTTATCCTCCAGAAGCAGACGGAACCGGAATGATGTGTGTGTGACAGAGCACATCCTTGACGAGAAACACCACTGGTTTCAACGAGGTGCTTAGTTCCCCGAGGACTGGTACTTGATCCGGAATGCATGCGAGTAGTTTATTTTTTTACACACAATTGTGTGATGAACAACAAACGGGGCAGAGCCAACAGTCACGAAGACTTGCCGTTCGGTGATGGTAACTGGGGCTTGGAGTGGCGAACCATACAAGGCCCCACCACCAGATTAGGCGTGAAATTGAACCGGATGGCAGCAAAGATGTCTACGACCAAAGTCAAGTGGGGGTGGCAGGGATCGACCATCGGATTCAAAGCACACCGGTGACAGCGACTACAACACTGCATCACCGCTAGTACGCCATAAGAGTTCGCACACTTTTATGGTAGTCTTCCTTTTTGAAAAAATAAATTAGAATGGACTCAACGTTTCTTTTGGTTATCGTTGATCGACGGTGTAGGTAACGTCACTCGGGGGCTTGACGCTACGTAAAAATATGATTACTGATCCAATCGTATCCATCACAAACTGCCCTACTGTTCATTAATATTTGTCTCACTTCATTTTGGTGATCACCGGAATCTGAAAGTTACTGTGATTCCTTTGTGAAAAAATGGACGCTAAGCAGTTCACCGGGAGACGGCGGCATACCTTTTTTAGACAACATAGTGTGCAGTAAAACCGTGGAAGATCACACGAGAGAATCAGCTCCCGATTATCAAAAAACGTGAGGAAGTTAGTATAGCAGCTCCATTGTTCATCTTATTTAAGGTGCTCCGGTACAGGGTTATGAACTGTCAGGGCATTGTCCACAGGGTTTCCGACTGTTAGTACCGGAGTAACTACGCGGTGGTGGACCGGTTGTAACCTCACCAAACTATCACCCCGAAGGAGGAATGTTCGAATCCTACCACCACCGACTGATTCCCCATTTGTGTGTTGTATGACGGTCCTTTGATTGGCCGCTTCCCTCTTCCTGAAAATTGGATCATTGTGCATTCAATAAAAGGAAGTAAAAATGAAAAAGAAAAATGAAGAAAAAGAGCGACAGGGTATTCTTAACCCCACCCCATTCCCACTCAGTGATCTTAGCGTGTTCCCTTGCTGGTGTCTCAAGTTCCTGATACGATACAGGTATCGAACAAACTCGTACAATATCCTAACTTTCATCACATTAGTTTCTCCCTATGCTTAGTGATGCGAGCCTTATGCACGAGATGCAATAAGATATTGCCCCACCGCACACGGTGATAGAAGGGAACTTAGAACTTAGAGGTGGGAGATCAAGTTAGGAATAAATACATTTCACCCATCGCAATGGATATACACGTATGATGTTGGAAAGTGAAATGCAGTTACAAAATAATAGTCATGTTGCA